AAAAAAAAAAAAAAAAAAAAAAAAAAAAAAAAAAAAAAAAAAAAAAAAAAAGAAAGGAAAAAAGGAGAAGCAGAAAATTGTGACCGTGGGTTAGGTAAATGTTTCTTAGGATACAAAAAGCATGAACCATAAAAGAAAAACACTGATAAACTGGATGCCATCAAAATTAAAACTTTTCCTCTTTGAAAGATACTGTTAGGAAAATTAAAAGGCAGTCCACTGATTAAGAGTAAATATTTTCAATATATAAAGCTGATAAATAACTTGTCTCCAGAATACAAAAAGAACTGAAAAATGAGAAGTAAAAATAAGAAGACAAATAATCCAACTAAAAATGGAGGAAAGATACATGAAGGGGATATGTACATTGCCAGTAAATCTGTAAAAATATGCTAAACATTGTCAGCCATTCAACAAATGTAAATTAAAGCCACAATGACATACTATACACACCCATTTGAATCATCAAAATTACAAACACCAATGTGCTGGGCACAGTAGCTCACACCTGTAATATCAGCACTTTGGGAAGCCAAGATGGGAGGACTGCTTTGAGACCAGCCTGAGCAATATAACAAGACCTCGTCTATAAAACAACAACAACAAAACACACCAACAAAACCAAAAGTGGACAAGGAAATGGATCAAGTGGAATGCTCATACAATGCTGGCAGGAATATAAAATGGTACACTTCTTTGAGAAAGTTTAGCAGCTTCTTATAAAGTTAAACATGACAATTCCATTCCTATTTATCCATGAGACTACAGAACATATGTATGTCCATTCAGATTTGTACATTAATGTTTAACAGCCACTTCCTTCATTAATAGCCAAAACTGGATACAACTGAAAGATGAAACAGTAAACAGATAAGTAAGCTTAAAAAAAGAACTATGAGTGCATGGATTGCGTACACGTGTGTTTCAGTCCATTGTAGTCAGCTTCTTCTAGCTGGCTCTGGGGCTGTCTGTTATGACAGGATGTTCCAAGTTCATCATATATATTGTTTCTATTCCATATATAAACTTACAGTTTTCTAAGGAGCCTTGCTATATTTTAGTTGAAAATGGTATTTCAAGACCAATCTGGGCATGCTATATGCTGTTAGCGGGTAATATACCTAAACAAGGATTAGATTGTAAGTAAAAGATAACCATGTAGGTAAAAGATAACCATGCATATCCAAATAAAAGAAAACTTACTTAGCTCTGTTAATATCAAACTAAATAGACATTAAGGGATAAAGTATTATTATTATTACTATTTTTTTTTTTACTCCCAAATCTCTTTTACTGGGGGGAATGGGCCTCTTAGGGGGCCTCACTGCACTGCTTGTTCATTGGCACTGCTTCCCGAGTCCTGGGGCTTCATCGTATCGGGCAGCTCGGGCAGGCTGGAGAATGGTTTGATGCACAGGGCCTCAAAGGTGTCATCTGCCCAGAAGGCCAGCCCCATGGTGGCTGGGGCCTGTGGCTGTGCTGTTTGACTGGTGAAGCCACACTCGCCCAGTGTCTTGCCATCATCCAAGAGCTGGTCGTCCTTGTACAGCCGCTGCTCGTTGGTCGGCTGTTTGAGGATGCTCTCAATAATATGCTTCAGCTCGAACACTGTGCTGGACTCCTTGGCGTCCCAAAAGATGGTGATCTTGTGGCGCCAGATCATGAGGAACACGTCTATTGTGGCAGCTGCCTCTCCCCTTGACGTACCAGCATGGCTGCACTCCATCCTGTTCTATTATTATCATTTTTGATACAGAGTCTTGCTCTGTTACCCAGGCTGGAGCACAGTGGCCGATCTCTGCTCACTGCAACCTTTATTTTGCCTCCTGAGTTTAAGCGATTCTCCTGCTTCAGCTCCAAGAGTAGCTAGGATTATAGATGCTTGCCACCATACCCAGCCAATTTTTGTATTTTTAGTAGAGATGGGGTTTTGCCATGTTGGCCAGGCTGGTCTCAAACGCCTGTCCCGGACTCCCAAAGTGCTGGGGTTACAGGCATGAGCCACCATGCCGGGCCCAGAAAGCTTTATTTGAGGTAAAAAGGGAGTACTTTGGTTTAACAGAAGATAATGACAATTCTGAATGCATACACATAATAAAATAGATAAAAAGAGTTGGTCACAGTGGCCGGTGCCTCTGTGGTCCCAGCTATTCATTAGGCTGAAGCAAGATCACTTGAGCCCAGGAGTCTGAGGCTGTAGTGTGTATGATCACACATGTGAATAGTCACTGCACTCCAGCCTAAGCAACATAACAAGACCCCGTCTCTAAATAAATAAATGGAACTGATAGCGCTAGAGTATATTTTACATATATATGACTTTTGAACCATTAAATCAGCAAAGATAAATTTTAAAAAGCAACCCTTAAGAATACAGTTGAGGGCCGGGTGCGGTGGCTCAAGCCTGTAATTCCAGCATTTTGGGAGGCCGAGGCGGGTGGATCACGAGGTCAAGAGATCGAGACCATCCTGGTCAACATGGTGAAACCCCGTCTCTACTAAAATTACAAAAAATTAGCTGGGCATGGTGGCGCGTGCCTGTAATCCCAGCTACTCAGGAGGCTGAGGCAGGAGAATTGCCTGAACCCAGGAGGCGGAGGTTGCAGTGAGCCGAGATCGCACCAT